AGGGTGTTCACTTCTGAGCTCCAGATTTTAGTGAGGGACTGGCAGGAGGCCTAGACTGATCATCTAAGACTTTGTTCACATTTAGACAAAACTCCTAAAAAACTCCTAAAAAACTCCTGAAGTTTTCAGGGTGAGCTGCAGTCAGCGCCCTAGGAGACCACACATAAAGTCTGTGGTGCATGACCACAGACTTTATGCGCGTGACAGGGACGATATCTGTTCATGTTTTGCTTCGTTCACCACCTCTGCCTCCTTCTTTTTCCGGGATAGCCTCCTGCTTTGAGGTGCATGCACAGTATGAACAACCAGGTCAGGAGGATTTTAGGAACAGTCCTCCTGAAATCTCGAAAAAATTTCGGGAGTGTGCGTATAGGAAATCGGTATAAGAAACCTGGAGGTTCATTCAGTCTTTTATAAACAACCAGTTCAACCTTAAAATCAAACATGAAGCTTATTTGAGGAAAAAAGAAAAGAAGAGATGCTCCCTTTTCCTGGAAACAGTTACAGCAGCTCACACTCACTAAACTCATCAGCAGAGAAGAATAGAGCAGAAATAGAAGCTCGTCTGTCAGCAGCAGTTTGTCACCTCCCACGGTTGTTATTAGCAGCTTTAGTCTTCTCTGCCCACACAACACGAGCTGTCAGAGATGTTCTGTTAGCGATGTGAATACTTCAGAGAGAATCTAATCCCTCACTCAATGCTCAGCACATCGATACTCAGCCACATTTCTGTTCTTAAATGAAATCTCTGTCTCTCTCCCAGGGCTCGGAGTCTCCCATGATGCTCGGTGACTCAAAGAGCGATCTGGAAGACGTGGACCCGTAGCTCCTCCACTCAGCAGGATCCCTCCGCTGGAGAGGCGGCTCTGCTCCGGGCAGCCGACCCAAAGGGCTGCACTTTGCCTCTGATTGGTCGTGACATTTGGGACTCCACAGCAAGCCAATCAGAACTCTCATTCTCTGGGTCGCCGCGGCAGAGAAGGAGCTTCGAATAAATCATGAATTACTTCGTTTCAGAGCAGCCGAGGCGATAATGGAGGATCATTCTCATTAAAGGGCAGCAGAGAGGAATGGTGGAGGGACGAGCAGAAACCCTCCTTCATTCGTTCAGTCAGAATGACGGCGAGCGGGACGACGGCTTCGGGTTGTGTTTTAACAATTTTCTGCTCATTTTTGCCAACGTATCGACACAGACATATTCATATTGTAAAGATTTGTTCCATAGGTGTAATTTCCAGTGTAAGATAATATTTTAAAGTTCTTCTCTTACTCACATCCGTGCAAATAATGAGAGGTCACGTTAGCTGCTCTGGAGGAACTCACACACACACATACAGACACATACAGACACATACAGACACACACAGACACACACACATGTGCACCTGTACAGGAACACCTCCACACACAAGCACTTGGGAGGGGGCGGGGTTTAGTATGCACTTTATAGTCCAGCCCGGTCCAGTGTGACACACAACAGTTCCTCTAGAGCCTCCACGCGATCCTATCTACTTCTTCTTCTGTTGCTTTTAACAACTTATGATTTCAGTGCCACTTATACAGACGCTGTTACCTCACTGTAGCCATGGTAACGCAGCACAGGGCCATACCTGTCCTACAAACAGAAACAGCAGATCTGAAACAAACAGTGCCATCGTAAATGCTCTCCTTCTTTTTGTGCTTTTTCTTCTCACTGGGTTTTATTTCTTTCTTCTTTCTTCATCGCCTTTTTTTATGATTTTTTTTTTGGACTCTGGATTGATTGACTCTGACTGGAGTAAGTTTCACGCCTTATGCAAGAAAAGCTGATCTGAACGCGCACAGATTAGCCACGGTGGGCCGTCAGTGCCGACTGAGGGGGAGCTCAGGAGCATGTTTTATTTTTAGGTGCCAAGGTTTCACAAAAACATACACAAAAACACTACAATAGAGCGTGTGTTAAAATCGTGCAAATGTGTGTCACTTTTTCACGAAGAGCAAGTCGTCCTCGCCTCACTGTTACCTCCGCTTTATCAGGTTTGATTTCCGTTTGCCTTTTATTTTTTTTGCTTTCGTCTCCTTTCTGAAACACACACGGGGGAGCTCCACCCAAATGTAGCTCTAGTTTCATACCAGAACAGCGTGCATCCATCGTCCCGAACGCCCGCAAAAAACACACACCTTCCTCCACCAATCATCGGGAGACTTGAAGTGCCTTAACCTCCTGTTCCCTGCCGCGCTGCAGGAGAGCGACAGGGCTTCTTCACCCCTATCAGACCCCGAAAAAAACAGGGAAAATGTCCTCTGTGTGATGTGAAAAAAGGCGTGCAGGAATGTAACTGTTGGTTGTTGACTTTGTGAACGGGGGAGGAAGGCTGAGGGTGGGTGTAGGTGACAGGACGGGGTTTTGGTGATGGTAATATGCTGCTTCTTTTCACTCTGCTTGATCCTGCAGAGACACTTTGTAGATTAATATTAGGTAAGCCACACCCTGCAGACAGGAGCCTCCGTTAGCTTCGCATATTAGCTCTCAGCTAATTTAATAATGAATAGGTAAACGTTTAAAGTGTGAGGACCTAAAGAAGCAATCATACTAAATGATTTCTGTTGGGAGAGAGGCTGGTCGGCATCATCCCAGCCTGAGACGAGGGAGGACTCCCAAACTTTTCAAAGGTTTCGCATCCTCTTTCACATTTTTAAACCGAATTTGCCGCAAGAGAAAGAACCAGAGCACTGCCTGAATTGTACAAAAACATTTTGTAATGTTTGTAAAAGTGGGTAGATCTGGAGAAGAGCTAGAGAAAACACCCATTTTAACAAAAATCACCAATGTTTGGCAATTTAGACAGTGTGAAGGAGTTTGTCTGCAATATTTGATCATTAAAAACAAGAAATTGCCTGATATTGGGTGCCTAGGACTATTTTTTTGTTGCCGTGGTATCAAACAGGTTTCAGCATTGTTGTATTTTTGTCCTCGAATCAAATCAAAGTTTTCAAGTCTGTTATCATGACAACCCTACTCTGCTGTCATCGGTCTCACTCGTGGGTGTCACGTCGTTCTCTCAGGCACATTTGCATGTGTGGCAGAAAGTGGTGAAGTTTGTCAGACACAAGAAACCCCCTCCGTGCTGTATTTGTTTGCTGTGTAATCGGTCATAAGCACCCCCCCCCCTCTCCCCTCCCCCCTGTGTCCGTCTGACGGAGCTGCATGCAGTCTGTGCCAAGAGATTCACGGCAACATGAGCACTAGTCTCTCCTCTCCACTTCATCACCATGACGACTTCCAAAAGAAGAAAAGTTCAGTCTTTAGTTTTTATCCTGGGGGATGCAGGGGGGGACCTGTGTGTGCGGGGGGGGGGGGGGGCCTGTGTGTTCAGGGGGGGGGAGGGAGGGAGGGAGGGAGGGAGGGAGGGTTGGCATCTGTACGGGTTTTTACTGTCATCCAATTTTGCAAATTCACTTCTGCTAATGCAGGATTCTGTAATGCATGTTAAAACTCGGTTTTAATTTGTACATCAGAGTTTGATTAAGGGGAAATTTGATATAAAATAAACTGGAATGCACAACCTTTTGTAAACATCGCTTTCCTGTGTTATTGCGGATTATTGGTAATTTAAAAAACTGTGAAGGTTTACAGATTATACATTACTTTATTAAAAAGAAAAGACTCAACCAAGAGTACAACTGTACTCAAAAACTGACAATAGACCGACCGTTTTATGGTCCAGCATGACAGATTAACAAATGTAAACTTTGAAAGTAATGATGGATGAATTCCATTTAGCAAATACGTCGGGGTGTTGTGAATATGCACTTAACTCAGGGCATCAAAGTGACTCTTTCCTGGAAGGACATTTTGAAAAAAAAAACATGGCAGCGGTGATTCTCGCACACCAATTTAACTGGGCTTAAAAAAAGCCACAGAAGGTCTGCAGGCTGCAATATTTGGAAAGAATAGTCGCTTTCATAAAGACATGAGTGGTTTAAACAACATGTGCCCACAGTGCAAAAAGGTGAATAAAAACAGTAGCAAACAATTCAGTCCTCTACTGGCATCAGTGTTAGTGGTATGAGTGTTTCACAGAGCTGATATGAGACAGAGTGATACCTGGTGAGATTAATCAACCAGCTGGTGCTACTGAGACTTGAGACAAACTACCTCGAGTGAGCCAACAACAAATCTTGGTGTTTATGTCTTTCAAATCCTTCTGCTTTCACACTGAAGACGTTTGGTTTCAAGGAGTTCCATTTGGCTTCATGGTTTTCAGTGTCCTGGTTAATTCCTGTTGTAACATGCAAATTCATGCCAAATCCTCATTATTCAGTAAATTCTGTGATTTTAGTACTGAAAGAAAATGTCTAAATGTCTGATTAAAACAGCCAGAATGAACTGAGAGCAATATTTTAGATTTAAACACAGACTGCCTCTTATCGTATCTCACAGAGGACATCTGACGTGATCTGTTCAGCAGAAATAAATCTGATAATTGAATCGATTCCACAGTTAAACACAGTACCTGCTCTGGTATTTGGATCAGATAATAGATGACATTAAATCACTGAAATAACATTGGGTTTCGTGATTTTTCTTTCAACTGGCAACTGTCACATAAATGCAGCATGAAACCAAACATGAAGCATTACATTTGCATGACTTTGTGTGTCGCTGCTGTTTCATTTCAGACTCCATGGAAATCAGAGGCCACAGGTTACTGTTTAATTAATCAGTGTGTTAATCAGGCTGATTACCTGCTGCTGTGCTGCAGCTTCACCTGAGGTCTGAGCTGAAAAACCTCTGCCACACACACACACACACATATAAGTGTGTTTATTTAGTTTATAGAAAAAAAGTTACTTCACCTCAAATATTTCTAAAAAGAGCAAGAGTCAGAATTTATATTTATTGTAATTGAAGTATAGTTAGCAATTTAGTATGTCCAATTTCGTGGATGGAAAAAACAGATGAGCACCAAAGAGGCTTTTATCTAAAAAAAAAAAAAAAACACAAATAACAGCATATTAAGGTTTTTTATTAGAATTGTTTTGTTAAAGGTACAAAAATATCTTGTTACATCAAACTGTGAGTGATTTAAAAATAAGCGAGCTGCTTCCACATGATGCGACAGATGTAAGTTCCAGTCATTTATTCAGAATAAATGTATGCGTGTGTATGTGCGTGTGTGTAATCAAACAGCTGAAACATGTTTACAGAAGCTCTCTGTCACAGCCTAAAGACAAACTCAACATTAAATCGGTCAGAATCTGAAACATCGGAGCGGACCAGTGAGCGGTGGCGGCGTTCTGCTCCTATGGGCTGACACGACAGCACACAGCAATACCTGCTGCCCCACCTGCTCCTTTGTTAACACTCACACGGCAACTGTTGCCCTTAGCAACTGGCTCCAGGATGGCAGAGCCCCGAGAGACGGTGCCGCAGTCTGTCAGAGTCCAACCAGAGGGACAGGTGATGTCTACCTGCAGGGGACAGCAGGGGGAGGGACAACTATCAAAAAGGTCTGTTTTTTTATAGTTATATATTATATATTATTTTGCTATTTAAAAAAAAAACCCTATCCTATCATTGAACAAATAACAAAGATATATACAAGCACCAAACTTGCGAAGCCGAGCATTTGCTTGAACATACATCATACGGCACTGCCTGTAGATTACCTCATCATCCTTTGTTTGATGTTCAATAAAAAAAGAAAAATTTATATTATATATCACAATATTGATTTAAACATTTACAGACTGAGAAGTTCAAGTTTAAGTGACATTATAACAAACATGTCCGTAAACACCTGAGCAGGGATAAAAGAGTTCAGTCAAACACGTTTACCTGATCGCCATCAGCTGATGTGTTCTCCAACAGGTGACACTCCAGAGAGGGGGCGTGGCAGCACACAGCATGTGATGTCATCCCGTCTTTAACCACACAGCTCCTCTTGTCGCCGCGATGTGGACGAGAATCAGACCAGACGTCAGCGGTGGAGTGAGACATGCAGCCTGCGGAGAGACGAGGTTAAATCATTTTCAACTGAAGAAAAAAAAAAACAGACCGGCACAGAAACGTCACACACACACACACTTACCATACAGACATTGACAAAAAAATACACACAGCTGATATTTATACTGGCAGGGAGAAGATTTTCCTCCCAGGTTGGTGTCCATGGTAACCAATACAAATGATAAAGGTGTTCACATTCAGGTCGAATCTGCGGTTCTAAACATTTCTGACTCATGGACACAAGAAATGAAGCGACATCTGCTCTGCTGTCTGAGCTTATGATAGTTAAACAACAACAAAAACATTTTCTTAAATAAATAAAATACATTTATAGACAAAAAAAACAGTGTCACACTCTGTGCAGAACATTCACAAAGGTCAGTCAATAGTAGTAATTTATTGTTGCTAAATCTGGTCAACTCATTGGAAATGACAGTAATATTAGTTTGCATTCAATCCAAGTCTTATCCACTGATTGTACTGGGAATTCTTTACCAGATAAAGCTCATAACACTTTTTAAATAGGAATAATTAGAACAGGGTTGTCAGTGTAAACTGGTTAATTGTGATGGTCAGAAATTAATGCATACATTTTTTTTAACTTTTTGTTGTTGTAAAGGGACAATGTACAATATTAAACATAAATGTTGCCATTTGGTGCATTGTGCCAGAGTTAGCTTAGAGCTAGCTTACATCTGCAATCAGTTTATTTAATTGATAGCGTGCCAATTTGTCCCTTTTAGTGCACCTTTGTCTATCCACTGCACAGATAGTGAATGTGATTTACCAAGGACAAAGATAAAAAATCCTATCCTTCCTAAATTCAAAAAGGATTAATTATCAAAATATTCAACCCCTGTGCAGTGTGTGCTGAATGAGACATGAGCTAATCAATTTGATTGGACTGTAAACATGTTAATTTCTACTGTAAAAACTGGTGTGTTTGTGACTTCTGGTTCTTCTGCAGCCAGCCTCAAGCAGACACACTTATCACTTTCACATCAGCTTCATTTTTCAACACTAGAGGTTTCTGATTGGCTATGAGCTGGCGCTGAGGCGGGCCTCCTGACAAACAGCTGGTCAAGTCAGTCACACGCCATATTCTGAATAACTCTTAACCTTCATCAAATCAAAACAAATGCATTTTTTTTAAAAATCAGCCCCCATACAGGGTGTGGCAATAAAGACATGAGCTATTTCATTTTTTTAACCAGGCTGTAATCATGTCGGGCCACTCCGAAGAGATATTGTTCTTTTCACTGCTCACCTGTCAGGTGATGTTGTGGTTCCACACACTTGGCGTCCTGCCCGGGTTCAGGACTAGCATTAACCTGACACTGCAGACCTTCGATAACGCAGCAGCGAGCCACAGCAAACACACCTTTACCCCCGGGACTATTATGAGCGACACATTCCATCTGCCCGCTGCTCACCTGGACACACAGAGAGACGAGATTTTACCAAAAGAGCTGAGTATATTTTAAATGATGGTGAGAATCTGAAGAGCTCACAGTGATGGCTCCTCCAGCGTGGATGCCATCAGGACTGATGCTCCTGCAGCTCAACAGCTCCTCCCCCCGACGACAACTAGAGACAGCCGGGTCAGAACCTGTGACACCGGTCCTCTCTGACCACACCCATCGACACAGGAGCTCCTCACCTGCATATGAAATCAAGAACACAGTGTGAGACGTGCTGTGGATTATGTTAAATGCATGAACAAAACTACAGAACCTTTAAATCACTAAAATTAACCCCGTCATGTATTCATTCATAATATCTGTCTCCTCCTCTGATGCTTCTGACTCATTCTGCATCAGACTTTTTAACCAACAGGTCACAGTGTGTAAGAATAATTACCTAAATGCCTGTGTACACCGGAGCGTTTAGAACTGTACCTGCTTTAGGACTGATAAAATGAAGCTGTTGAGCCTATTCTGGCATCCACATATACATCAATACATGAATGAATACATAAATAAATAAATACACAAAGGCTGAATAAAAAAGGAAAGAGATGCTTAAACAAGAGATCCAACATAGAGTTGTATGATCGCAGGTAAAAGAGAACATCTTTATAGAAATGTGAAAACTCACATGAAAAAATAAAGACAGATAGAAAATGTAAAAATATATTAAGAATTTAATATTATGTTAAATGTATCCATTAATTTCTGTATATATTTATTTGAAAATCTACAAAAAAAACATTGTTAATATTGCTTTTCAATTCTTTAAAGAATCTCTGTCTTCAGCTGGCTTTAGGCATGTCTTCCTGTGCAGCCTTTTGTGTCTATCTTTTAATTTCCACATTTTGATATACTCATTTATTCATTCATATATTTCTACTACTTTATAACCACTGTTTTTTAGATGTTCCTAATTTATTCATCTTAATATTGTCCCTTCCCATCTACAACTCTATAATCATCAGCTGTAGGGAAAAGGTGAGATTTCTTTTTTTTTTTAAGTGTTCATAAATGTGGCGAGGCAGATTCTTGCAAGGAGAGAGTGAAAGCTAACATGCTGAAGGCTCTTCTCTTAAAAGCATGTTATTAGATCAGATTAGATTAATGTGATTGTGTTTAACTCTGCTGTGCCATGTTGCCTTTACTGACCTGTGCTGTTCGCAGGAGGCATGGCTGCCACCAGGTTTGGAGTCAAGAGTCGATGTGAGTTAGACAGAGACAGAAAGTTGATAGTGTCACTGATGGAATAATGCAACATCGTGTGCAGGACCTGCACAGGTGATGTTTTCTGATTGGCCGACAGGATCACTGCTGCTATGCCTAACAAAAAAAAAACAAAAAACAGGTAATGGTCATACGGTATTAACTGACACCAATATGGTAGTAACTGACAAGAAAGAAGAACGTTTATTTTCATTGTGTGTGTGTGTGTGTGTGTGTGTGTGTGTGTGTGTGTGTGTGTGTGTGTGTGTGTGTGTGTGTGTGTGTGTTGTGTGAGAGAGAGAGAGAGAGAGAGAGTGTGTGTTTGTGCTCACCTGCAGCATGCGCAGCAGCCTGGGACGTCCCGCTGCGGGAGGTGAAACAGGTGCTGCAGTCGCTGCTCGCACTGATGATGTCATCACCAGGTGCAAACAGATCAACACAGCGGCCAAAGTTTGTCCCCCCCGCCCCTTGAGACATGAGCTGGTCTGCAGAGTTCACCGCCCCCACTGTGATCACCTGCACACACAGAGGGAAAGTTACAGTTGAGGGTTGTTTTGTGTGTCGTTTAATTTAACTCTGCAGTTCAGCTGTTGTTCCACCTCCGGCTCTGACGCAGGTGAGTACAGGCAGGCGTCGTCTCTGTAGTTCCCTGCAGCAGCGATGACCACGGCACCGTTAGATACCATGTCACGACAAGCTGTGTTCAAAGATCGGCTGAACCCTCCGATGAAAGGAAGAAGAACGACCACCGCCTCCACCGGTCGCACCTGAAGAGTCGTTCGAATGTACTCCAGACCTGATGGAAAGAGTTCAGGAAAGAAGACAAAATGCCTGCTGTTGACGTGTTGCTACTGCAGCAGGCTGTAAACCAGAGTTCAGACAGTTATGTGGAGGGATAATGCATAGACTGCTGCTGCACACACATGAAGTTGTGTTTCTACATAAAGTTTGGGGTTCAAGGTTTATGTGTTCTTTGTTAACTAACATGTCTGCAGAAGTTAAGGGCTTTTGAGGTTTAAACCGGAAACAATAAGGAGAAATAAATGGCTGTTGCTATGGGGATTTTGGAAGATGTCTGTCAGTTTGTCCAGGCATCTTTTCAGGAAAAAAAATCCTGAAGTCGGGGAATCGGTTGGTGCCTCTGCTCTCACTATGAGTGTGTATTCAAACGACCAAAATATAAAATGTGAGACAATCCTCCGACCGGTTGGTCAGGCTGTGATCGGCTGTCATGTCTCACTGCATGACATAGACTCAAAAGTCGGGTCAAGATTGGCCTTAAATCGTACAGTGTAGCAGGGTCAAAACAACTTCAGGCCACGGTACAGTAGAGCTCTGTTTGAGTAGTACCTTTCAAAGCTCCTGACACCGTCCCTTTCCCCTGACAGTTGAGCACACGGACCAGATTTACACCGGCACCTCGAGCAACACCAGAGTCTGATCCACTAATAACTCCCGCCATGTGGGTGCCATGACTGTCGCACTGACTGGCCTGTTGAAGAAAACGACTTTACAGTTCAGGCACACAAGAATACATACACAAGCATGAAGGTGGTTACGTGAAGATATGGATAGACAGCTAAAGCAAGGTTAAATATTATCAGAATCACAAGGGTAAAAAAATCAATCGCTTACAGTGAGGCAATCAAACACAAACACAGTGACGAGTGACGGCCCAAACTGCTAGCTAACTTTTTAGGCCCTATGCACCTTACAGACGGTTCATAAAACACCAAGAAAATGTTTCATTGGATGCAAAGAACTTAACATTTACAAGTGCAGGACCAGTTAAAATTGGGTAAGTATACCAACAAAATTACATTTCTCTCACTGTTGACCAAGATACTGTCCTAGAGATGGCAATCACCGCAAGATACATGATTTAAAAAAAGTCAACATCTTTATTTCTTGAATGAGACTTATATTTCCACTGTATGTAATGTAACACCCAGATGGTTGGCATTTGGTCTAAAGAGAAAGTTTTGTAATCAAGTTATATAGAACTGACTTTAGGAATTAGGGAAAGGTAGATAAGGGTATCGTCTGGATAGCGGGTTATTCAGTTTCGATGTTTCTTCTCACACAGGCAGAACGAAGTGGACCTTAAAGCCGCTGTAAGGAACTTTTAAACTTTTAGTTTGTGTTGATTCTGGCGACCAAGATGCGCGGCAAATTTAGAAACCCTGAAAATTCAAGAGCAAATGCAAACTTCCAAAACAAATGCAACGGCTTAAAACATGCTGCAAATAAAAACAAATTTGCTGCAAAAAGGCCGTGTAGGGGTGTATTACAACCGCCTACCTTCTCTGCACAAAACAAATACAGGTCATTCCGGACCAGAATCGAAACTTAGAAGGAGGACACACTGGCTGAATCATTTTTGTTAAAGAAGCCAATATTTCAACATAGCAGGTTGATAGCTACAGTTTTTTACATTACTCCCCCATCTTAAAATGAAAGATCCCCACCGAGAACCCCCTATAATATAGCTGTTTGTACAGCACAGTGTTCACCACTTCCTCTGACACTTACCCTCCAGCAGCCTCTTCAGACTTTAAAAACTAGATAGCAATTATCAATCTTTTTGCACATAGACGTGTTTGCTTTTTGAGGTCATGTAGAGGCCTTGATAATAATTTAATTCTATTTTATAACAAGCTATAAACTCCTCACCGGCTCTAAACTGAACTCTGTGGATAAGTTGACTGAAGAAACCCTGAAACAGCAATTTTTAAATTTAGGAATAGAACCAGATAATCAATTTACACACCAAAGAAAAAGTAGCAGAGTGTAAAAGCTTATATTTAGAGCTACCATTAAAAATATAAAGGATGAAGTGACAGTATTTAATCTGTATTTGACCTGTCTGTGAACTCTGACTCCGTCTTCCTCAGGGACGTTGTTGAATTCGGTGATGAGCACTCGTCCTTCTACCTCTCTGTGAGAGCTCTGCACACTGCTGTCCATCAGGTAGACCACTGACCCCCCTCCGTCATCTGCAGAGGACAGAAGGAGTCTTAAAGTAAATGTAATAACCTCAGAGATGAAAGAGACAGACAAACATAGAGAAGGACTCACTCGGTGGTATGTATGTTCCATTTTCAGAGGTGCCACCACGAGGGTGCAGTAACCTCTGGAGGTTCCAGGGGGCGCTCTGAGCAAAGATGGATGAATCCTCCTCAATGTAGTCAACATGAGGAAGTCTTACTGCCTGCCAGGAACAAAACCAAGTGTTAATGTGGCTCGAAAGCAGAAAATAAAATCCTGCAGCAAAAGTTTTCCATCCACAGAAACAACACTTTATTTATATAAATTTAAGGGCATCACTAAGTAAAATAATTTGACATTTTGAGAATGATATTATGTGATATTATGATGATAAAGTTGTAACATAATGAAAATAAAATCATAAGAAAACAAAGTGTTTATTTATTAAGTCATAATATAATAAGAATAAAGTTATAACTTTATGACATGTGACTCTCTCGTTTTAAAAATGGTTTGATAAAAATCATCAAGTGTAAAGCCTTATTCTTATCTCTCCTCTTCTCCTCGTCCTCTATATTCTTTGTTTTTTAGGAGTTCTTCAGGGGTTTATACCGGGTCACCTTTTATTCTTTATACATGAAACTCCTGAGAGGGGTATGCCATGTCAGATGTAAAATATGGTTGTGCCATGTTTTCTGGATGAACATCTGTTTTTCAACCTGTGCACGCATGATGATCAACCAATGACAGCCTCTGATAATATTATTCACCTACATTTAATAAAAAAGTATTCCCAATTAAATTTAGAACAAGCATTGCATGTCTTACAGGTTAGCAGCATGCAGACAGGTGAGGCTGTTACCAGGTGGAGGACGTCGCTGCTCATCTTGACCAGGAAGCCTTGTAGAGCTGTGGAGTACGTCTGCAGGATCTCCAGCAGGTAGCCTCTCCGGGCTGCTTTGGCTCTGAGCCTTCTGATGGTCCTTTGCACCTGGGACTCATGAGTCCCCTGATGCAGGATGACCAGGTACTGACCGGGCATTCGCCACGCAACCTGGAGACAACACAGAGAACAAGAGAGGGCAGGCCAGTCCTTTAATTTGATTTATGATGGATCTATTTGATATATTTATTAAATGTATAACTGATTGTCTCAACCTGCTTCTCTTAGACCATTTACATTAGTCTGAATCTTTTGTCCATATAGTTTTATTTCAGCTGCTCAAACCAAATTAGAAACTATTTATAACTGCAAAATAACTGTGAAATCTGCAGACCAACTCCATTGTTATGTTCGAAGTGGTTCACAAACTTACTGTCAGACCCCCCTATACACATCAACACAAATATGAAATTACACTAAACACTGAGTCATGCCCTTTGCTAAAAAAATCCTAAATTTTTTAGAATGAATATGAAACATTTTCTGCCAAAAGTACAGAATAGCAACATCATTGTGATAACAAACTGAAAGAAAATAGCAAGCAGCGTTTTACAGAGGAAGCAGTTAAATGTTCAACTGCAACATGGACCTTTCACAATTTTAAGGGGTGACAACAGTCATTGCTTTAAACAGATTTTTCAAACCTGACACTGAAGATGAACAACACCCTAAATGTAGGCCTATACTTCCAGTCATGCAATACTTTAAATAGTGTGCGCTTGTTTTGATCTACAGATCTTCTCAGTCTGGGGTGCGGCTGTGAGTCTGACTTTATTACTTCATTTTCTCTTTCTTTAGTGTTAATTGAGGAAACCGCAGAAAACCAGCTTACACAGGTAGGATGTGTCAATAGGAATGATTGTGTCTCTCTTCATTAACCACTGTTGTACAGGTGACAGATGTTGTACATGACAATTACATTTTTTTTTTGTCTTTGTTGTAGTTGTGATGTAGATTCATTGTTAGACTCACGTTTACCTGGAAGTCCTCTTACAAAATGTACCATGCTTTGCTTGCGGTGCAAAACCGGTGCTGCTCTTTTTTTTTTTTTTTTTAGCCTTGCTGCCTCCCCTGTCATGGCTTCGGGGCCCCTCTAGGGGGCATGGGCCCCACTTTGGGAATCGCTTATCTAAGCACTGCAATTTTGAGATACTTGTAGTACATCAATTTTACATTTTCCAACTCCGATACAATTTAAAGGCTGATAACTTACCAGATTTATTTTAAATAAATGCAGCTACTTTTTACTTTCCATATTCAGAAAGACAAATATCAAGGTCAGTTTAATTAAGGTTGAATAACATGCATTGCATCAATAATAATTTAAGAAAAAAACATACATGGAATGGAATTGGACGTTTTGGACAATGATTGCATGTAGTTTGAGTATATTTAATTCTTGTATCACAATATTTGTAGACTGACAGTATTTCTACTTCTGAGCACTTCCTCCTCCGCTGGTGTTTTACCTTGTTGCACCTGAAGAAGTCTGCAGCGGGCTCGGTTCCGGTCTCAGCCTGCGTCCCGTCCTCACGGATCAGATCCAGGATCATGTCGTCGTCTTCGGGGTAATCCTGAGCGCTCTGCACGGTCAGAGATGCGCACAGACACAGAGTCCATCCGATCCAGCCTGAGGAGCGACGCATTCTGTAGACCTGCTGGACCGTTTCCAGGACAATGATCCGGGTCAGTTAGTCCAGTAGGCTACAATGATCCGGGTCAGGTAGGCTTAATGATCCACCGAGGAGAGGGTTTATCTCGGGCCAACTGTTCCAGATGTTCTTGTGTTTTCGCTCTGACAACCTTCAAACATCTGTTCTGATTTTGGAGAAAAAATCGAACAATTGATTCTTATAATTGAAGGCGGAGACTGCTGACGTCTCCGCGGCTCACGCCACCGCTTTTGTATCGAATGATTCAGCTCGGTTAAAATCACCTCTCAGTGTGGAGGAGTCATGTTTCATTCTCCCCCTGAAACAGCCTAAAATCTCTGCATGTCTTGACACTTTGTGTCACGGCAACTTCATCTGTTGATGCTGTGTTTACACATGCAATTAATGTGAACAATTACGCAATTGCAAAAACGGAACTAATGCTCATGATGATCGTGTGCACAGAGGCTGATCATAAATGTCATAATAGTTTCTAATATATTATCATATGAAATCATTTTTATTTTGCACCTCTGCAAATCTCTCATACATTATTTTGACTCACATTAACCCTCTTGTGTCTACTTTAAACCATCCAAACAAAAAACTGGGACAAAACTTCCCCTTATGAATAGCCTACATATTATTTTTATCCACCAGCAGGAGTCCTGTTTAGTCAGTGAAACAGTCATTAAGTGTTTCACTTCAAGGATTTTTATAATTTCTGTCAAGTTTGAGACCCTGAGGATGACGCTGAGGCTGTACATGTGGTTTTGTGCAGGCAGAGGATGTAATGTTCAACGGTCAGATAGGCTGAGGGAGTCGAACTTGCACCAATGCATGGCCAGAATTCACAGTAAAAGTTTGACTAAATTGATCCTTACCTAGAGGCATTGCCAGGACTTCTCTGCCCAATTACAAGATATCAGGGCGGCTGTAAGGCTCAGTTGGTGGAGTCGGTCGTCTCACAAGGTTGTGGGTACGATCCCCAGCTCCTGAAGCAACATGTTGTGTGTCCTTGGGCAAGACACTTTACCCTGAATTGCTCCCACTGCTTCGTCAGCAGCGTATGAATGTGTATGAATGGGATTAGTTACTTCTGATGGTCACATTATATAGCAACCTCGCCATCAGTGTGTGAATAGGTAGGTGACATGCTGTGTAAAAGCGCTTTGAGTAGTCAGAAGACTAAAAAAGCGTTACATGCTCAAGTCTATTTATCATTTACCACATCACATCCACTAACTCAGTCAACACTGAGATATTACTATAACTACACATCCATGCAACAAATGCATTTAAAAGATTTGAAATAAAGGCGTCAAAATTGCCCAAATGCATTGGAAGAGTTTCAGTAGCCTACATAAACTTGCCATTTTTTGTAATGAAACACAAGAAATTATCCAATAATGGGCGCAGAGGACTTCTATTTTTTCTGCGGTGGTTTTGAATCAGGTGTAAACATTGTTGAATTTGAAAGTTGTATTCCTTTGAAATATAAAATGACCTCTGACTACTTTAAATAACAAAACTTTGTGTCACCCATCAAAACTTCAAAATGTTTGAAGTTTAAATTACACAATCACAATGAACCAAACTTTGTTATATATGCCTTCTTGGTATTTAAGGAGTTTTTAGGCAGCTTAAATACTTTTCAATATTTGTAGTAGGATTTTAAGAGTTAAGAATCGCGCTAATTTATTGGAACAGTTCTACTATTCTTAAATAAATAAAAAACAAAGATTAATTTAAGGCCCAATGAAAGACCCTTCCTCCACTGGGCCGGGGCCCGAGGAGTCAGACGCACATTTCCGCCCAGTACTAGGCCCAAACATATCTGCTGCCCCGATGCATGGCTGGTACCATTAGGAGGCAAAGTTAAGACTGCAACATTAAGATTGATAGATAACTGTTTTTCTGCATGTTTTATCAAAACATTGTTAAACATAGAAGAAAAAGCACAGAGACCTGGAGTTACGGGATTTTCAAACATTTTATTATAGGTCTGCTTGTTCAATTACAAGTTACAACTGTAGATCAATACAAAGGACATTATGATGGGAGGCACCAGGGGGACACTGAAAGGTTCAGTACGGAGTAAAATTATTTGAAACTGATCTATGGGGTTTACAGTCAAATTGGCCCACTATTTCAGACAGCCATCTCCACCGTCATCACCAACACACCAAAATAGGAAGAACAGGGCTCAATCCAGAAAGGCAAAAGTCTACTGAAACTGTTCAACACGTTACACAAAAGAACATTTGTTTTTGGCCACTGGGGGCAGTGAAAAGCTGCTATAAACACATCAATGTCATATAAAGTTTTCATGATAAATGCAATCAGCTGCACACGCAAGTAAAGCTTTTTTTAGGTCTATAGCTGCTCCTGTTTTTGCTTCTTTATCCATTTTTCCTCCTCATAAATTTAAACCAAGAGCATGATGGGAAATAGTCTTGTGTGCTCTCATCCCTGCAAGATACCCAGTCTGTGCTAAATCTTATAGATTGTTGTTCAAATCTGTTTGAATGTGAGAGGGAACCAGACTTTATGCTTCTAAGACAAGTCTTGTGCATGGAAGTGCAGATTTTTTTCAAGTTCATGTAGGCCATTGCAGTGTCCCCAACAAACTTTCTCTGGAGTAGTAGAGAGTGCCATCTTCTGGAACTACCATGCAATACAAATGTAACTGTATTAACAACAATGTGATCTCTGTAAAATTGTTAATATCATCAGTCTCTTCCATTTACTGTAAAAAAATAAAAAATAAACATTTAATAATATCATCTAAGTGAGGCAGAGACATCAGAGGATCTCTTCACTGTCCTGAGAGTATAGGGGAGAGTTCGGGTCTGACCCTGCAGGAGGACGGGGGTCTCGCTTAGACCAGATGCAGCATGGGACAGCTGTGACACTGACTCTTCAGGGATCCAGAAAGAAGTTGTCTGCTGCTCGACTTCTGCCCACAGAGAGTCAGATGAGCCTCAGGATGTCTGAAATTAAATCACACAGGGGAGGAGGAGAGGGGGGATACAGAAATAGAAGTCTAGCTTGAGTATTTTGTCCTCGTTTTTTTACTTTTTTCTAATCCAAGGGGAAGTTTTGCTGACCTTGCATGTCTTTATCTGCTGGCTGAACATTCCTGCTATTACAAACACTCTAATGGAGGAGCTGAAAGCACAGCTTCCTTTTTCAGCCGCAGGCCTCGATAATAACCAGAGTGCTTTAATCAGGAGAACATTTTACGGTTCCTTTTAAGGGAGGGGGGAGAAATCTTTGCCATACCCCATGCATGTTTCCAGCTAATCTGACACAACATTCAAGCCACAATTTCCCCGCTGACTCTCTCTCCCTCTGCTGCTGTCTCTGCTTCATTAAACCACCAATTATCCTGTAAGATAATAAAATTAGTTTCTGCAGAGTATCAGTGCAAACGCCCTTTTCAACCACAAGACAATGGTCGCCAAGCATTCTGAAGATTCAGAGACAGACAGGCAACAGGGCATCATTACAGCCTGAATAAGCACCTACCTGTCTGTGAACCATTAGAACTGTGTGTGTGTTCATGCATTCATGCGTGCAGGCGAGGGGAGTATCAAAGTAGAAAGCAACTGTTAAATTTTGTACTTAAGTACTTATTTTTCACATTTCTTTTTTTAACATTACACCAAACATTTTAACATCAATACCAGCAACATCCCTATCCACACATTTACAAAATTGGCATTAGCTTAAATGCATTTGAGGGGAAATATCGACCAAACATCGAGCAGATTTTAATGGGAATGAATGGAAAAAACACGGATAGAAAAGATGATTCCTTGGCTTGCCCATCAGGTGAATGACAGAGGACAGGGAAGAGGGGTAACCGTGTGAAAACTGGGTAAAAGATGTGTGAAGACAATCAGACGTTGATGGAAACTGTTTGGTTGAGAAGAGGCATTTATAGTGAACGTGATGTCTGTGAGCGACAAGGAGACCTTGGAGCCACATGAAGGTGAAACAGCCAACATGGTCGACGTATGACAAGCAGCAGATTCAGAGCAACTTATTTACATATAGGCTATTGGAGCAAAGTGAGTGTTCATTATTTTCACTCTGTTGTTCTTTTAAGTTAGAATGATTTTATTTATTTATTTACTCATTTTTGATTTAACCAGGAAAGAAACTCATTGAGATTAAAAATCTCTTTTTCAAGAGTGTCCTTGCCAAGACATGCAGCAAAACATTAACGTTAAGGGTTTCACACGCACAACGAGCAGCCAAGCATTCAAATACAAAATGCATTAGACATTAAAAGACACAAATAACAAATCCGAACAGCAAATGTTTGTCAAATATCATCCACAAATACATGTACATGTACAGGAAGTACATCTACAGCCAGATGTGTCCGCCTCCAAGTCATTTAACTTTAATTTAATTAACGAGAGAGAGAGAGAGAGAGAGTATCCAACGAGAGAAGGTCATTGAGTTTCAGCTCTTTTTGTAATTCGTTCCAGGTAAAGGGAGCAGAAAACTTAAAGGCCTTTTTCCCCAGTTCAGTTCTGACTTTTGGAACAGACAACAAGAAAAGGTCCTGAGATCGAAGATTATAAGTCTCTGTACTCTTCTGACTGATGAAGGACAGAAGGTACGAAGGAAGCAGACCTAAAATAGACTTGTAGATTTCAGATTCATCAAATATGTGCTTAGCTTCAGTTATTGCACACAAACAGCTGGTAAAAATGTCCTCCAGGGACAGGTCGCTTTTATTTTGACTGTGAACACCAGATTTTCAAACTTCAATATGATTCTAGAATAAATGGAACACTCTGGATATTTGTATCGATACCACTGGACAAATATAGGCTACTGTATTGGCAACTTTTGGGCAGTTTAGAAAGTGCTCTGTCTCTGTCTCAAAAAGGACTTAACAAATGTCAATATTTGCTGAACTGTGAATTTGAATAGACAACCTCTTTCTTTGTGGCCGCTCTTGAACTGAAAAGTAGAATTTTTTTGTGAGTTTGTGTGTGTGTGTGTGTGTGCGTGCGTGTGTAATAAGTAAGAGTGACATTACCTTTCTTCTAGTGCTCCAGCTGCAGAACATACTCCATCCTGCAGACTTTTCTCCTGAGTCTCAGGAGCCACGATGACCTACAAACACACACTCTCCATTACCAAATCAATGTCAGTGTGACACCAATCTCAGATTATTTCCTGTGTGTCTCTCTCCCCGTCACGCACCCTCTGTTTGTACCTTTGGGTAGCACTGGCAGAGGCTCCACACAGTCCCGACACACACCATGGTGACGCCCAGAGCACACAAGGTGGCGTAAATGTGCGGCCGCTCCTGAGTCATGATGAAGAGGCCCACACACACCACACACAGGCCTGCTGCTATCAGCCCGTATCGATATGGTTTACCCTCCACCATCACAGTGAAGATCTTCTGTCTGTAAAACTGGAAATTCAAGGAGCTGAGAAAAAAATGTTTTGGTGATTCTATCTGGACTTGAAGGTGAGTGGAGAGAAAGCTCAGTTAGGGTTCCACTCCGCTGGTTATTACAGCCTGCAGACAGCCGGCTCAAGTCAGGTATAACATTGCATGTGTGTGTGTGTGTGTGTGTGTGTGTGTGTGTGTGTGTGTGTGTGTGTGTGTGTGTGTGTGTGTGTGTGTGTGTGTGTGTGTGTGTGTGTGTGTGTGTGTGTATCTGGTAGGTCACCTTGCATTGAGCTGCTGGCAGAAAGGAAACTTGTTTCAAAGATTTTTATCAGCTCTAAGGTGAATCTTTGTTTTTTGATTTTAGACGGTTAAAATGGAACCTGACGTGTTTTTCTCTACAAGCTGTCCTATTTCTGACATTAAAGCAACAATATAAAACTTTTCCACCTTAAAATAGTAGTTTCAAAGGGCGATCTCATAGCACAATAACTTTCAACAGGCAGAAGGGCGTCTCTCCCATGTCAACAGAACGGTCCGCTCACTTATTTTCAGCGCTATGTAACTTCATAGCACTGTAAGTTCATATCAGGAGAAGTCCATACAGCTTTACGCCACTAGTTCACACAGCAGCCTTCAGCTACAAAGCAGCCCGTTAGCCCGTCTCTGTACTGTTTGATACAATGGCTGAGGCTAAGAGGAAGAGGACGGTGACAGATGAAGCTAAGAAGAGAAAAAGAGAGAGTGACCAAGCAAGGAGCAAAGTGTACATCCCTGCAGATATTATTCAGAACAGATTAAGATGGACAGTTTGTCTGTATTGTTATCAGTGCCATCATTGTCTCAAGTTTAGCAGCTTTACTGGGTGCAGAAAGTCATCTAACCATCTAAATTATGTCTCAGGTTTGCATATAAATAAATAAATACATTTTACGCCAGAAGTTGTCTCTTCACTTATCCATCTTCAAGTTAGCTTCATAAGTTTGGAACCTTACAAACATATCTTAACTAGCATGTAATAAATGACGCTCTCCAATGTAGCCATTTAGCCGTGGCCTATAGACAGAAGACATCAGTTTGCAAACAACGGGCTGAAGAAGCTAGCAGAGTCATATGGTTGAAATCCAATAATGTTACTCAACCTTGTCAGGTTCCCTTTAAAAGAGTCAACATTTCTCTTTTTTGTTTTTTCTTGAAGAGTTACACCATACACAGAGAGCTCCACAGATATCCATTAACTCATTTTTATAGAATCACAGCATAGAGCTAACAGCACACAATGTGCAAACACAAAGCTGTAAGATAAATAATACTGTACTATTGACATTCTGCCATCACTGGTTAAGGCACTTTGCGCTGGAGAAAGTTGTTGATAAATCTCCTTCAAATGTTTGACAAGAAGGCGTGCAGATACAAAGAGGAGCTGTTTACAAGTGGAGAAAGTTCTTACCATGCTGCAGCCACAGTAGAAAGTCACAAAAATCAAGCAGGCCAATAAAATATCCCCATTAGGCGCTTACAGGAGGTCTGCAGCCAAACTATTGATGCAAGTCCTTACATTTGTAGTAAAAGTTGCATAATGGCGTTCTCTCAAAGGCCTAAAGTAGGCAGAGTGAACAGTCTCTCATCCTTTCAATTCCTTTTACAATCAATCACAGCACACATGTTATAGTAAGTGGACACACTGGGGGTCAGTTTGTACAAATATTAAGTCTTCCACCAGCTGCAGCCTTCTCCAGTTTTGTGGCTTGTGTTTGGGTTCAGAGCAGATGTTTTAAGGCACAGAAGAGCCCCCTTGTAGCGACTTCATCAAAACCCCCCGACTGTTCTCTCAGCCGAAGACAAAAGGCACTGACACGAAGTAAAGACGTCCTACGGAGGTACCGGTAAAAGATGATCACTCCGCTCCTGGCTCTTCATCACAGTGTCATAGGATGGAGGTGGCTCCATCGTCCAGGGGGGCGGGGTCGATGGGAGGGGGGTTTCTGGCTCTGCCCTCCTGCTGACAGAGTCCTCTGACATCTCCCGACGAATCCGGTCCAACCTCCTGAAGAGTAAGACAAGCTATGAGATGTGGAGGAATCGCTCTTTAACTGCCTTCACTTCAACTCGTTGTATTTGTTACACTCAAACTATAAAGTTAGCGCTTGGTCTCGGTTTCACTTAAACACACAGAGTACCTTAATTCAACACTTACACCTCAACTTTTTATGGTGATAATATCGTCGACATTTTGCTATGATAAAGCGGCATACTCCATTTTAAGAAATGAAGAGGAAACAAAAACATGCAGTTCCTCGAGTGTCCGCTTAAGGCTGTCCCCAAAATCCGATGAATGCCCATTAGGTCCCATATTAATATGATACATTGTTTTAGCAGATTAAAGTCCACCTCAGCTCCACCTCTTTGTTTCTAGATTGATCAAAATTATTTCCAATGTGGCACCCGCCATCGCTGGGCTTTCAAACTCCTCTTCAGAAACCAACAGGTGACATTACATTTGGCCCGGTTGGCTCTGACATTTACATCAGCAGCATTTCAACTCTACTTCGCCTTTGTTACTCGATTCATAACTCGCTCAGAGGTGAAGTGACTTCACCAGGCCTCCGTAACATTTACATTAACAGTTAGGTGTAGCAATGGCGCATCAGTACAATCCATATATGTGTATAAGGGGGTCTGTGATGTCCCTTGTGATGATCGATTCCCTCATTCCATTGTCCCTTAAAAAGAACACATTTATTTAAATCAGTAATGCCCATTTAAAAGAGAGTCCTGGTTTAATACAAATCATCCTGTGTTCTGTGTTTAGAAGCAGAAAAAAACCCTGCAGGGTGGAAACTCTGCAGCTGGCAACTCTGCTTGTCTGTGCTGGACAGTTAGCAGAGCTCCTCTTGTTTAAACTTACAGGCGAACATGGATTACTTTTAACGATGCCTGGCTGAGTCTCACTGTCAAATGCATGTGTATCTATCTGCTGTTACCTCCATCAACCTACCTCTATAATCAGCAAAGAAAACCACCAGTCCAGTGTTTTCAACTGCTTATTTTGTCAAACTTTGAAGCAAAGCTTATATTGGTCCAAGAGATCTGCTCAAATACCCCCGTCTGTCTGCACCTCTCTTATTCGCTTTTACAACAAAAGGGAAGTCTCAAATGTTTTTCCAGTGTTAAACAAAGCAGACATGGTTTATAGTAAAAGGGATTTTCTAAGTTTGCTGTCCTCTGTGCCAGATGTTTCCAACTCTTTTAGTCAGGTTAATGGGCCATAGCTCTACAGTGAGAAGTGCAATAATTAGGGAGAGTCATCATGAAACCCATGAGCTATTGCCAGGAGACATACAAGCCTCTGGGAACTACGGCCAACGTGTAAAAATGTCATTCTGATTTTAGAAAGTGGTTTCCAGGGACTTTCTTTTCTGTGCATTAAAATGTTTGAAGTCCATTTAGCAACTCGAGAAGTTACTGTGTGTTCAGATCAAGTATGAAGAGAAATTCTGACCTCCAGATATGTCTGCAAAATAAACATCTGCATTCTTGCAGTGCTCATTCATCTGTATATGGTGAGTCTCAGTTTTACTGTAAATAGTACGTTACACAGAGGCTTCACTCTGGTTAACTTCAATAGTGCAAACCTGAAAAAGAAACTAATTTTCTAGTGATTTACTCACCCAAACGTGTCTTGATGAAATAACATCATAATGCAGATTTGAAAAAAGTAAAAAGTGAAGCTTTGTCAGGTCAGTTTTCAACAGGAGAAGAAAACAACTTAATTTTTTTGTTGAATGGAGGTAAGATCCATTATCTATGATGCATTCAAGGAAGTCAGGAAATCTGACTGATTGGCTTACGCCACAGAAAGTAAGCATACATGTTTAATCCAGAACATACAGCTGCTTTTACATGCAGATATCTGTATAGAGATAAATAAATCTTCGTTAAGATTCTAGAGATTGGATGAAATTACTCTGGATTGTGTTCTACCTGCTTTTACTCTCCATACAGACTTTTTCTCTGGTACACACCAAGGCCTGCTAATATCTGATTGGTTAGTACTCTGACTTCAAACGTACTACAAACTGAAACTGGAAAAGAAAACTTTGAATACCAAAGTCCTGCATGAAGGGATTCTGCAGTTTTATGTAGAAACTATAAATAGAGATTACTAATAAACTAGTATGAGCATTTTTACACGGTAATATAAACATAAATTCTAAACACGGGCATGTTAGCATTATTATGTGAGCAGGTGTAGATGCTGTTGTTGGAATTAAGTTTAAGAAATAAATTTAAAAAAAAGTGAATTCTTCACCTTGTGGTTCTGCATACTTTCTGACTATAAGCATGTGTACCTTTGTAAAGCCAGGGCCTGCTGCGGGCTGAAGCGGGTTCCCGTGCGAGGGTGTAGCAACGAGTGTCCGGGCACTGCCACCTGGAGATTCTTCATCGCCATGCAGAGTCCCACAACCAGCAAGCCCCCGCCAACCAAACCGAGGAAGAGCCCGGCTCCGAACAGCGGGGCCGAATGCCATGGCAGCCCCATGAGCAGGGACATGACCCCCCCAGCAGTCAGCAGCAGGGAGCCCAGACAGAGCAGCATGCCTTGGGAGGGCGCCATCTCAGGAGCCTCCTGTGAGTGTGTCCAACTACAGAGTCTGCAGAGAGAAAGAAGCACAGGGGTCACAGATACGGTGATGACCAGATAGGATGATTACATCAATGGCCACTGCTGAAATAAGTTCAAAACTGTCAAAAAGTGAAGGTTTTCATACCGACAACATGAAGACTTTGATTAAATAATCATGTTCAACCCAAATTTCACCTGAAAATCTTCTTCTGTCATAGGTTTCGTAACAAATTCACACACCGGTGGTGCCACTTTCTTTCTTTTTTTTACTTATATTTTATTTGCTTTTCTTGATGAGGTACATCAAAATAAACACAGTATACAAACTTTGGTGTCAATAATAGTCAGTTTAGCCTCCTTTCAAATAGTCCATTCTCTTCAGACTTTGTGATGGGTTTTAAAGTCAGTCCACTTTTTCCATTTTCCTTGGCATGCAGATTGTTGTAGTCTTAAATTGTGTGTAAAGTTCTCCATATCATGTAGTTTTTCCACAATGTCCAACCAGTTTCTCTGAGTGGGGGGGGTCCTCCTTAAACCACTTTCTTGTTATAGCTTTCTTTGATGGGTGGTGTCACTTTCTAACAGCTTTTTTCTCTCATTATGTCAAAATAATCGCTACAAAGAAAACTAACTTTCTAAACTACTTCTAAAATGTACATGTGGGGTGCTGTTTTATTTGGAAAGAAACCAAAATTTAAGGCACCAAGGGAAAACCGGAGAAGGCAGTGGGATACTAACTAAAGTTCAGCAAGCAGAATTTGCATAATTAAGGAGGGGGCTGAGACTACGTCCATATTTAATACAGTCCATGCTTTGAACCTGGTTGGTAACTTCACACTGCCCATTAAGCACTATATTAATGGTGAAAGATCAAATGTGTTTGAATTATGTTGAGCATAGACCCAATTTCACCAGCAGCTTCAAATGATTTTGAAAAGATACCCCAACAATTGTTATTTTCATACTTTCAATGCTTAAATCAACCCGTTTTGAAAAGTATAAAACAGATGTATGTTTTATGAGTTTCAGAATATAACCGTGTTTAGCCAGTTGAAAAATA